GCCTGTAGCGCTTTGTAGGCATCGAAAATTGCCTATAGGTCTCCACGAACAGTTCAGTGCTAAAGAGCGACGATGAACGTCACTATCCGATCCACAGGAGTTCGATTGACATCGATGAACGATTGAAGTGAATCGACGAACTACGTGAGCTGATAGAATTGCGGAATAACGAAGGCACGGGCCAATCGGGAACCCTGCGATGTTACAAAAAGAACAACGCCCTTCGTATCTCGTTCATTCTACAGATAATCCAACCATTGGAGCAGATAGAAATCTTCGTCAAGCTTCCAACGCACTTGGAATCACTCAAATCCGAGTTCGGACGAAGAATTTACAGCGGAAGTGGACGAATGCACCTCAACGGAATGTCTCAGAAATTCCAAAACACCCCCAGGGGTGTCTCAGAAATTCCGAGACACCCAAGGGTGTCTCAAAAATTCCGAGGGGTGTCTCGGAAATTCCGAGACACCCTAGGGGTGTCTTGAAAATTCCGAGACACCCCAAGGGTGTCTCGGAAATTCCGAGACACCCCTGGGGTGTCTCGGATTTTCTGAGACACCCCAGGGGTGTCTAGGCTTTGCCTAGACACCCCAGGGGTGTCTAGGCGCCCTAGGTTCCCTCATTGCCTATAAATAGGAACCTTAGGCCTCACTTTTGGAGGATCTGGATTTTTGGAGAGTTGGCGAAGCCCTGCTGCAGTGAAGAGTTGTCTAGCGCTTCAACACAAGAGAGGTCTTCATCACCCGTGTCCGTTCCTTAGCATTACCCTTCGCCGGTAATCCTAAGAAGAGCAAATATCTCGTTTTAGCTGAGATAGGCGCTTCAAGCTTCTAGATCTCCTCGCGGATCGACGAAGCTCTGCCCGATTTTTCTGGATCAGATCTGATTGCTAGGTAGTCCACGGATATCGACGTCCCCGTCACAGGCCAAAGACCCACGCAAGCAAGAGACGATAAACGGATCTTGCGTTTATTTTCAAGAAAGTTGTAATTTTTAATTTTCGTTATTTGAATTCATTTGTAATGACTAAAGTTTAATGAAATCAATGATGAAGGCAACTTTCCTCGAAAACACGCTTGAGCTCGAGCTCCCCTGCAGCGATTCGACCTTGCCTGCAGAGCCTCAAATTCGCCTGAAGGTTTTGTCGACATCGCCTGCACAATCTCGCCTACACGGGGTTCTCGAGCTCGCCTGCACTCGCCTTCGAGTTCGCCTGAAGCCACTGATCTCGAGCTCACCTGAAAGTTGCTGTCCACGCTCGCTTGCGTGGATCTTGAGCTCGCCGGAGTTAAGGTTTGGTCTTCACCCCCAAATCCAACAATCTCCCACTTGAAGACCAACCCGCAATCAGCAGGCTATCTCATCATGCACCTCCTCTTGTGGCTCCGCTCTCATCACTTATGCATGAAGGCCAACTGAAGTTACGCATAACTCTAATTTCTAAACGGTCACCGTCTTTGTTAACATATCTGCTGGATTCTTACTTCATGGAATCTTCTCCAGTTTCAACACGTCATCTTCCAACAGGGTTATGATGAAGTGGTACCGAAGCCTAATATGCTTCGTTCTAGAATGAAATGCGGAATTCTTAGCCAAGTGAATCGCACTCTGACTATCGCTGTGCAAGACATTCCTCTCTTGTTTGAATCCCAGCTCAGTTAACAAACCCTAAAGCTATATTATCTTTTTACTAGCTTCAGTCGTTGCTACATACTTAGCTTTTGTAGTGGATATAGTGACAATCTTCTGTATCTATGACATCCAACTAACAGTTATAGTTTCGACAGTGAATACATAGCCAGTGGTGCTTCTTCGGTGATCGACTTCACCTTCAAAATCTGCATCTACGTACCCTTGCACTTCCACCTCTCCCTTATCAAAGTGCAAACACTCATGGTGGTTAGTTCCCAAACATCTGAGTGAACAAGCTCTAGCTTCTCCTTCCTGGGGGTTCTGTCACTTGTCTGAAACCTAACTCTCTTATGCTTTTCAAGTATGCATTTTTCACACATATCTAAATCAACTGATTCTAGACCTGGGAGTTTTCCCTTTGTGTGCATGATTTTCATCCCCTTCTCACTCATATGACCGAGTCTATGGTGCCACAGCTTGAAGTCTCATTGCCTGCTGTAACTGAGATCAAACAATGTGCACCTGCTGTCATATACAGATTAGTCTTCTTGCCTCGGGCAATCATTATTACGTCCTTTGAGATCTTCCAATTATCTTCGTGGAAGGTTGTAGTGTATCCTTCGCCAGCCAACTGGTCTATGGATATTAAGTTCTTTCTCAGGTCGGGAATATACCCGACATCCTTTAGCTCCCATACTGACCCATTCAACTTAATTTTTACTACACCTTTTCCCACAATAGCACACGATTGATCATCACCAAGATATACGTATCCAAAATTTCTGGGAACATACTTCTCAAAGAATTCTTTCTGAGAAGTAGCATGGAACGACGCTCCTGTATCTAACACCCAAGATTCCTCCTTGCTCTCCAAAGAGCATATCAATACATCGTTTCCTCATGAAGTGGAAGTGACATTCACCTCTGCCTTCACATCCTTCTCATTCTGTGCACTCTTGCACTGATTCTTATAGTGCTCGGTCTTTCCACAATTCCAACACTCGATAGCCTTCGAGCTATTGCTTGGATTCCTGGATTTGAACCTCCTGTCCTTTGATCTACCTCTGTAGTTTGATTTACCTCGTCCGTTCTCTCTGGTTGAATTTCTACCTCTTGACTCTGTATGCAATACTGAAGAGGTTGTAACTTCACCCGACTCTCTCCGTCGGATCTCCTCACTAAGAACCAGATCACGAACGTCATCGAACTTTAACTTGTTGCTTCCCGATGAGCCACTCATAGTCGTGACTGTAGTATTTCAGCTTTCTGGTAGGGAAGACAAAAGTATCAACGCCCGAAATTCCTCATCAAACTCAATTTCAACTGAACTCAATTGGGTTGTGACCGTGTTGAGTTCATTGAGATGTTGTGCTACTGACAGGCCTTCCGCTATTCTCAGATTGGATAACCACCGTATCAAATAAACTTTGTTTGCGGCTGATGGCTTCTCATACATATTTAAGAGTGCTGTCATAAGACCCACCGTGGTCTTCTCCTACGTTATGTTGAACGCAACATTGCGAGTCAACATTAATCTGATAACTCTGAGGGCTTGTTTGTCTAGAAGGTTCCACTCATCCTCCTTCATAAACTCCGGCTTCTTTCCCGAAAGTGGTTGATACAGATTTTTCTGATACAGATAATCCTCTATCTGCATTTTTCAGAATCTGAAATCAGTTCCATCAAACTTTTCTAATCTCACATTTTATTCATTTGTGACCATCGCTCCCACTTGAATATGACTTCCTCTAAATCGTTTCAGTCTCTGATACCAGTTATTAGGAATTTTACGCCGAAACCCTTAAAACAGCAGAAACACAGTATATAGAAAATAAACTAAGATTTAACGAGGTTTGGCAACTGCTTACGTCCTCGGGAGCCATACAATTAATTTCTTATTAAACAGTAAGAAATTACAATGCAAGAGAGCTTGAGATCTCTCAATAAATACAAATCAATACTATAGCTACAGTATTGATTCCCCGCTTAATAAATTCTTCCTCAATAAATTTCCTTTCTCTTAATTCCCTTCCCAATCACGTGAGCACAGGAGAAAAGAGAGAGAGAGATCGCGAGAGAGGAGAGAGGAGAGAGTGAGAGAGCCGCCGCCA